TCGTCATTATAAATTGCTCTGCCATTGCTGTTCTGCTGCACTAATTAGGTGTTATTAATTGGCCACATTTGTTCTTTATCTGTGGCCCTCCTTCAGTGCTTCTGGCTCCTGGTATATTCGCAGCCTCGGTGAACTCTGCTCCTTGCCGCTCCCAGGCCATGCCCTAAAGACTCTGGAAAAAGCGCTGTCTTTTTTCTGGATCACCAACGCAAGCCCCTCGAAGGGGGCGGCATCTTAAATGGGACAAAGCTCGCTGGAGGGAGAAACTAAGGTGTCATGTTCAAATGTCAGTGGTATTTATCACTGTATTCCAGTGCAAGTGAGCTGTTAGGGTTTCAGATGGAGCAACCATATGATTTTAAAGCATTTCAATTTCTATTTTTTTAAGCCTTCAGTTTGAACACAAACCAGTGAAGGCTTTTTATATTTATCAAAAATAGTAAAGGAATGTGAACAACAGGATTCCAATTGGAATTCTAATTGGAACTTTTAAAGTATTTTGTTTTTACATAATTTATTTATGGGACTTTTACTTTGAAATTGCATTCAAATATATGCTAACAACAGTTTAGCCTTAAAGTGCCCATATTATGCCATTTTTAAGGTTGCTAATATTGTTTTATGAGTCTCCTAAAACAGGTTTACATGCATGCAAGGTCAAAAAACACGTTAGTTTTCTCAAAAATAGATTTAATTTGACCTCATTTCTAAATGATTCGTAAACGACTGGTGCGAAGTAGTTCAAAGAATCAGTCTCTCTAACCCCCTCCTTTCCGTGAGCCCTCACTGCTGTGATTGGTCAGATGGCGCAGTCCTTTGTGATTGGTCCAGAGCCATAGAGAGATTGGCTCTGGATTGGTCTACCGCGTACAGCGCGTGTCGGAAACGAAACGCCCATTGCCATGACGGAATGACAGCCCTAGAGACTTGTCAATACATAGAAAAGATGGTATGGATTGTACCTTACCAATTCGAGCCGGAGTCTGATGATGAAACGGTTGAA